CTCCCTCCTCCCCACCCTCCAGCTCCTCCTTACCAGCGTCAGCTCCCTGCTGCAGCCAGCAAGGACTGCCCAAATCATCAAAGCTGTCCAAATTTTTTCCAAAGATTTGGACAGCTTCGAATCAATTCAGTTCAGATTTGGAGATCTGGCCACCAAATCAGGCTGAATCTCCTCAGATGCTGATTTGATTCAGAAGATTCACACAGCCCTATAAGCAAGGACAAAAACCTGCCTCAAACAGTAGGTAGGTTGGAATGAACCAGAGTACCATGCCCACTTGGAGAGCAGAGTGCCCAAGCAGAAGAGCACCAGCAGCAGCAGTCTACAGAGACTTGCATGCTTTGTGTCAACTGTGAGGGAAGAGAAACTCAGAGGGAAAGGACAGAACAAGATAGCACTACAGACACTTCAGCGAACAGAGCAGATATTCAGTTCACAGCAGCTCCCCAGACAGTGGTATCACAGCACTTACTGGTGAATGTCCCCATCACTTTCCCCTCCAGCTTCTTGGCAACCGATTCACACAGCTGAACGGCAATGTCTGCAGCCACATTCTTTGCTTTGGGTAAAAAGTCAAGGGAGGGGGGTTAGTGCTGCAGGTTAAATTTTAGGGGCTTAGAGTCAGGGTTCCCACAGTGACACTGAAGAAAGCTTCAATAACCACCCAGCTCCATGGAGAATTGGCCACGACACCCTAATCCTATTGCTTCTAGTACTGCCCAGCCTTTTCTGCTATGAGGGCAAATGGCCTTGAGGAGAGTAGGCAACACTCTGGTCTCATCAACCCACAGCTCAGCAGCCCAAATGCTTGATCTTGGGGTGGGAAACTTAAATCGGGTACTGCTCTGGGGGAGATCAGGGCAGAAAGTCATTGTCTGTCCCCCTGGGACCATGCAAATCCCATTTGTGGCTGATAAGGTCTCCCCACAACATTCAGCTCCCAAGTAATTCCAACTACCTGGGCCACTCCAACCTGTCCATTCATTCAGAGGCCCCTCAGGGCGTCACCAAAGTTAGCTTGTGGAAACAAGGACTTTGTCCTACCCACTTCTCTCAGGGATCAGCATAAGCTCAGAAATCATGGATGCTACCCCTTTCTGGGCCATTCCCAAGGAGCACAAGTATGCAGGATATAGGTCTGGCCATTCAGAATAAAAGGGGCTAAGTCACTGCCTTAGTGAAAATATTAACGTTTTCAAAAAGGTGACATCCACCATTCTTCATCCCATCACCCACACTGCCCCAGCAGCACTCAAGTGAGGACAAAGTCAATTAATGCAGAAACAGTAGGATCTATACTGAACTGTTCAGAGACTAGCACACACCCTTACAGCCCAGATATTCCATGAGCAACTAGTTTTAGAACTGGACATTGTACAAGACGGGATTATCCAGACAGGTATGAGACTATTGTGGCTTTCCGTTGAGTGAGACACTACAGCTACAGCTAGTCACTCTTAATACACTCAATCCCTATACAAATATTCCCAAGAGCAATTACTACGGCTACTCCAAAGATAGGACGTCTATTTAGGAGTCACTAAATTGAACCACAGATTTAAAATCAGTAACATCTCCCAGAGAAGTTCAAAAGGGACTACTGCTCATGATGTATGAGGTACATAATCCAAAACCCCTTCTCCATTAGCCCCATTGTGCTCCAGCACAAAGCATAAAGACACAGCAGAACACATGCTATGGAAACAGGATAAGCAATTTCTGCAGTACAGTTTACAGCCAGCATGGTAGGTAGGCCATACCTGAACTCCAGACTCCATTACGGAGAAGGTGCTATAAGAGGTAACACTGGGAGAGAAGAATGGTAGGGGAAGGGCCAGAAATAACTGGACCAGCAACTGTTCCATGATCACTGGCTGAGAGGGTTAATTCAGAGAACAGCAACTGAGGTAAGCTACATTCCAGCAGCTTCACTGCATGGAAGGATCACCCTAGATTAATACAACTGAAGAACTAGAGAGAGTGGAATACAGACCCAGAGATATAACAAGCCCGTCCCAGGTATCAATGGCACAGGGCAGGGTCCTGGTTCATAAGAATAATAGAGACATTCCAAACTTACCAATCAGATGATCCTTCATCTTCTCCAAAACAGAGTCCATATCCTCTCTGGTTAAGCTTTTAGAACCCACCAAGCCTTTCAGCATCCCGAACATGCCTCCCAAGCCACCCTTCTTAGCACTGGGGGAAGGAGAGTTTTGTTACATATTAAAGTCAAAGGGAAAGGTGAAGAGTAGCAGCTAGATGCAGGGAAGTACTGGAAGGGCTCTTACAATTCCCCACCATTCTCACACATGTTCCACTGCACTATAGCCCAGGTGCGCCACACATAAGATTAATAGGCTGTGGTTTCAAAGTGAAGGTCAGCGTGCTCCGGGATTGACTGGCTAACAACAGGGTTGCGTAAATCAGCAATCTGCAGGCAGCACGGGGACACATCTGCACAGCCAATCCAAACTATTCTGTACATAACTTGTGTACAAATCAGGTGCAAACTGCAAACCTTGTATGGATTTGCTTAGTTACTTTGTGCAGACAGGTATCAAAGACTTACCAGGAGGGAATCAAAGGACCTATTGTGAAGTGGTGGCTGGTTGTTTCAGTTAGACAGCAGCCTAAAGAAATGGAATGGCCACCCAGAAGGGCTCACTTATTTCTCATGAGTGCAGAGCATGGGATGAAATCTAAAGCAGGTCAAAACAGTATTAGGATAATGAAGTACACTGAGAAACATTACTGCCTCCCAGCACAAGGACTGGGGGCACAGGGAAGTAGTAATTAATTTCCAATTCGAGGTGTTCTGTGCAAGTTAAGACTAGCCACACTGGAGGAAAAGCTGTAGAAGAGAAAGCAAGGTGATTGTGTGGTTAGGGAGGGCTACAGGAGGCCTCACCCTGGTTTTGAAGGGTTCTGAGCAACCTTCTCCTCTTCAGGTTCCTCTTCATCACTCTCATATTCAAGATCATAGAGGCGGCCAGGCTCCCGGTTCCGATCTCCGAGGGCCTAGAAAGGGGAATGTTAGGGGGTGTGGAGAATCAGTAACTGGCACGTGATCCCCACTTTAAGCCTGTCATTGCTCACTGTTGTGGCGGCCTGTCAAGGTATAAACAGCAGAATTAACTTTTGCAGAGGTCTTGCCAAACTCTGCTGTTTAAGATATTGTGAACAAACCTGGTGTTAAATGAAAGCAAACGACTAGAAAAAATATTTTGCCCACAAGTGGCAGTTGCAGCGTCCTGAAGGAGTTTTATTAACATGATCTAGTCATCACAGCACCTGAGCTAAGTAAGGATTTCCCTTTTCAGAGGTGGCTGAAACTTCTTCAAAAAAATCAGTGACAAAGATGGGAATAGAATCAGATCACAGCTCCTTGCTCTATCTATCATACTACCTCCAGTGATCAAGGTTAGCTCCCTAGCAGGTTTCTACCAGTCTCCTCCAAAACACTCTGCTACAGGCAGGGGATCTAATCCTAGTCTTCTCAAGTAAAGATTCCTCTAGATCTGCATCAGCATTGATGTGTGGAGTTTGAAAAGCACCAAGTAACAGATAGCCCTGCAACCTTCTACAACCCAGCAGAGCCTGAGCAAAACCTTAACTGTATGTCAGAGACTTTGGCTTGACCAGCCACTGCTCACAGCTTTATTCAACTGTGCATACTCTCACCCTGCAGGGGCTTGGATTCTCAGGATGTCCACAGCAGATCCAAGACCACAATACTCCAAGGTCACACTCTCTCAGAGGAAGGGGAATGTAAGGACCTTACCATATCAGGGTCAAACTCCTCAGCAGCGCAAGTCTCTGTGTTTCCGTTGGTAGTGGAGTTACTGTAATCAAGTACTTTGGCATTGGAGTTCCCCAGATCCCACACACGGGGTTTCTTCCCCTTCTCTTTTTGAGTCTCAGGCTTTGGGGACTTGCTGGAAAGAGAGCAGAAACTATAAAAGTAAGCTTTACAGTAACAACAACAATTGCGTTCTGACCTTGGAAAAGAGGGACCTCCCTGGCACCTGGAATACATTTACGTAGGATTTGCCAGATGGATCAAGTCACTGAGTTTATCAGCTCATCTGTGGTGGCCAATATGTGATAAGCCTTCCATAATACCCCTAGTCAGCAGTGAAAGAACTCTTTTCTTGTTCCACTGATCAGCGAGAGACAAGCTGACAGCACCCTTTTAAGCTAGGGTTACAGCAGGAAAATACTGGCAACAAAAGAAATGTGTTAAAAGGCTTGTAATTTTAAAAGCCTAATGGTTAGAAAGATGGGAGACTAAGGATAAGCACTGAAAAAAGAAGCATATCACAGAAGTCATCCAAACAGCCCTAACTCTGATCCTGCAGGACCTGAATGAAATCAATGAGATTCTTTGTAAGAGCAAGAGACCAAATGTTCAGGATCAGGCACTGAATTCACTGTTGATCCTCCCACAGTGGTTTAAGATTAAGCATGTCAAACAAAGGATGGCTTTTACAATTCTAAGGGCTTTCCTGAG